TAATAATAGTTTATAAAAGGTATATTCAATAAGATATACCGTCTAGAGTCAATATACGATATACCTTTAATATAAAAATTCATATAAAATAGCACACAATATGCCTACCACTGTATCATACACACGATAATACATATATGTGTATGATACAGCTAGTTACATCATACTAGTTAGACTCAAGCTATATCCTCTTATGTATGTATACCTGTAAATAACTCTAATTGGTCATTAAACAATAATTACGTCTACAGGTAGTCAACAATATAACACTCGTTAATTGCAAAATTAACTGCTATATAGGGTAGTTTAAACCCCCTTACAGGTGTACTGTATGTTGTAGAAATGTCCTGTAGTGGTTGTCAGGTAAATGGTAACATGTAGTACGTTACAAAATACTATTGGTTATATTACAACTTAAATACATATAATAACATAAATAATAGAGTTACTTAATATAACACCAGATGAGATAATGAATAACAAGTGTATATTACTACACTATACACTAAGACATCGACCAATCACACTGTAGGTAGTTGTGTAGGTGTATGTGTAAGGGGGAGGTAGGGGGTGATTGTGTGTGGGGGGGTAGGGGGTTATTGTGTGGGGGGGAGGGGGAGTATGTGTGTTGATCCGTGTAGGTAATGGCTATACAATATGGATTCAATTCTCTGTAATATATTGATCAACGACTTGTAAGCGACTATAGACCCTTGTAGCTCTTAGCTCTTGGTAAATAAATAATATGTTTAAGAAAAAATAATTGATTTGTGTTTGTAATTTTTTTTCTTTCATTTTTTGAATTATTTTTGTCTTTGTTTTGATTCTTCTATTTGTTGTCCTTTGTTCTTGTTTTCGTTCCCTCTCTCTTTTTTGGTGTTTTCTTGTGGTTTGTATTTCTGTTTTTTGTTTATATATTCTTTTTTTCGGGGTATTTTCTGTTTCTTCAGTAGTATATAATAATCTTTCTTTATCTGTGTTATCTTTATATAGAAGCTGTGTATAACCTTATAAACGATATAATAATAAAGACTATTACTTTATCCAGATTCTTTTTGTTGTATTAATGTGTAATCTTCTTTAACTATTCTCTATGTCATCTTTCCGTTGATAATCTGGTGTAAAATTAAACCAAATGTATAGACAAATCTTTCTTTTATTATTCATAATAAGTTTAATACAAGGTTATGTACATATTTCTTGACTACAGATTTCCAAGTAATGTTTCTTACGTGGATTATTAAATTTGTTGTCAACGTGATCCTTTGTACTTTGACACACAAACAAAGTTCACATGTGTAAAATGTTCTTTCTGTTCCTATCAAGACGATTTTCGTTAATGTATGAATGAAATCATTATAGCACTAATATAAGTCCTCATAACTCTCTTTTTTTTAATATACCCGTGAGGGGCTACATGATAGTAGTAGTAATTGTAGTTACAACAGTAATAGCGGTATGTAGTCGTGAGGTTGAGGTCAGGATCACCATACCAGCTACGTTACTATAGAGCCTCGTACAGACATTCAGAACATTAATATAACAAACACAGACAGGGTGCGGCGTTGAGCAGGGGCGCCCGCCTGTGTCACCCACCATCATCACAACACTCAGAGTGGCGGGCGGGTGGCCATCCTCACCACCACCACCCGACCAACCCACACTGTTGAGCCATCACATCCTCACCCACCAAAACCCACTGTTGTAGCAGACGGTGGGCAGCCACTGGGGAGGGACAGACAACTCCTCACCTATCCCCCTCCTCTGCTGGACACCGGGAAGAACCCACACAACGGCTCTTGTTGGATCTGGGAGACTCTCCTTGATGAAGCAGGAGGAACCTTGAGGCTTCTCTACTGCAGGAAGGGGAGACTCCACAAGGGTTCGTGTGGGACATGGAGGTTCCCCTCGTTGCAGCAGGAGGAGCTCAGGGGTTGCTCTACTGCAGGAAGGGGCGACTCACAGGCGCCCTTAACGAAGTAGGCGGCGTCGACGGGTCAATAAGAGCGACGGTGGGAGACGTGGAGGGGAGAGCAGAGTTGTGGAGTGAGGGGCGCCAGACAACGGTGGGAAGTGTGGCGGGTCCTCCGTGCAGCAGGGGAGGTGGAGGAGGGGAGCTCACACCTCGCAGCTGGCCAGCGGTCCGCGCCCCACCGACCGCTGCACACAGCCACGCACCCCCGGGATAACCCCAGCTGGTGTTGGGTCTCCCGGGAACGATCACAGGTGGTGGTGGTGGTGAGTCTCTCAGGTGGATCAGCTTCTCCGGGTCCCAGAAGGCGCTCCCGTCGCAGCGGAATCCGGTTTGTTGAAGGTTGAGGACGTTGTTGCCTTGGGTTGCCGTGGGGTTGCAGTGGGTCGCCAGGGAGCCGCCACCACCGGCCACCCGCCACTGCTGCGGATCGGTGAGGGGCGCCGCGGCGGTGGCAGCAGCGGCGGCGACAAGGATGGCAGCGGCAGCGATGGCAAGGCGCGGGCGACGGCGGCACGGAGGCATTTACTGTACACCACTACAGTACATCACGACCGCACGCACCTGCACCTGGCCCACTCCGACGTATTAGCAGCAGCGGGAAACAGTCAACACAAACTAAATATACTCAGGGGGTTAATCTAAGTATGAATGATACATATATTACAATGAAATTATTATAAATTCAGCTCTTGAGACATATCACAAGTGCGGCGCGCCAGCTAGCGGACGCCGTCACGGATTCTCCAGTATTTACACGGGTGACTATGTACACGGTGGCGAGCGGCGGCCAGAGCCACGGGCGGCCACACAACACTCACCAGATGGTCGCTCCTCGCCCTCACCACTCACAGAAATAGTTCCCAAGAGATAATTTCTACTTGCCACATAGAAATAGCTGGTCCGATGTGTGTGTGTGTAGCGGCAGGGCGGTGTAGTGAGGGAGGTGTAGCGGGTGTGTGAGTGGCGGTCGGCTCGTCAGCACGGACGGACCCACAACATTCCTGCCCCGCCAGCACCGCCACCCAATTTTTTAATTTCGTGATAAGAATGAGTGTGGCGTGTGGGTGGGCGGTGCGGAGGCCGCCCACAGGCCGCCCACGGGGCCAGGTGTCGGGCGGCGGCCGCCCAGCAGCCCGCCCGCAGCAGCTGCCACCCGCCACTCACCACCACTGGAATGTTCCAAACACGCACACAAAAAACTCGAGGTAACCGCTACATAATGTTCACACGTAATATGAAGCTCAGTCTTTACACTACTACTTATCGTCTCACTGAGGAATATGTGTGACAAGAGCGCTCTGAGGAGAGTCAGTCAGTCACACCAGCTTATGGAATGTCTGGCGAAGTATGGAATGATGGATCTACTAAAGGTTCATCTTTTATACACACTTCCTCAGCTCAGCTCGAGGTCAGTCTACATAAAATAGGTTTATCACTGAAGGAGTTTTCACATATATGGACACACCAGGTTTCTCTCTGGTAAATATTAATCTGGCTTCGTGTTGACAATCTGGCCGCTCGGGGGCCGCCCCTCTTCCCGAGGAAGGGCCAGGCTGGCCGGCCCGGGGACTAGAGGTGCATGGGACTCTCCTACTGCCGGCAGGAGCGACGACAGACGTTTTATGAACGTCAGCGCCACGGCCCCTCTAAACTCAGCCTCTGCAGGTGTTGTTGGAGGCTTGAGTTATAGTGAGGGGCGGCAGGTAGAGTCCTGGGGGAACGTTCGCGGTTCCCACTGGGTGCTGGTCAGTACGCTGGCTCCTGCCACAGGTTTAGCGACCATCAGTGGGAAACCGCGTGCGAAGGCGCCACGCTATGAGGTGGCATCTGTGGTGAGAGTAGGGGTCCTGGCGGGGAGTGTTGGGGCGGGAGGTGTGTAGGGGACCCATGCATCGTCTGGTGGGTGTAGCCTGTGTACTTTAGTTCCCGGGGAAGTTCTACTGACCTGGGCTGTCCGTAGTCTGGCGTGGGCGTGATCTGTTGACCCGGACCTGGTGGGGTACCGTTGACACCCTGACCGTCGGGGCCCTGGCCGATTATTGGAGGTGTCATCCGCTTCTCTTTCTGTCGTCTGTTACAGAACCACACTCGCACTACTTCTTTCTCCAGCTGCAGGCTGTCTGCCAACTGTGTGATCTCCTGTGCTGACGGTTTTGGCTGCTTGTGAAAATGTTGTTCCAGGGCCCCTTTCACGGACACCTCTATGGAGGTCCGCTTTTTGCGCTTCCTCCCCTGGGCGGCGATCTTGTCGATGGAGGTGGGGCTGCCCGTGGTAGAGTCTGCCTCCTCCAGCCACTTCATCAGGAGAGGCTTCAGCTTGCACATGTTCTTGAATGACAACTGTAGAGCCTCGAACCTGCAGATGGTGGTCTGGGAGAAGACGTTGCCGTAGAGGGTGCCGAGGGCGAGTCCCACGTCCGCCTGTGTGAACCCCAGCTTAATGCGCCTCTGTTTGAACGATTTAGCGAACTGCTCGAGGTCGTCGCTGGTTGGGGTCTCCTCCTCGACCTCGTGGTGGATGTGATGGTCTGGCGTGCCGGGGGACTCACAGGGCATGTCTCTCAGGTGCCCAGGGTGCATCTGGTGGGGCATCATGCCGTTGATGTAGTGGTGACCCAACGGAGAGCCGCCGTTGCCCGCCGCCAAGCTGTAAGGCGAGGAGACGGGCGGCTGCCAGCCATGGGTCATATGATGGACTGGACGGTGGTGGATGGCCACTTCTGACGGTTGAGGCTTGATATCCTGGTGAAGACCCGGGTGTGAGTGCATGGCCCAGTGACTTGGGTCTGACGGAGGAAGACCCACCCATGGGTTGTGGGCCATGGGCGCCTGGTGCTGGGGCATATACTTCATTTCGTGGGCCTCACGCCCATACCCTGGATTGTTCACTATGTTCATGGTGAGACAGTCTGGCACACTGACTGGATCAGAACACACTGCACTTGATGCGATGTAAGTTGTTGTAGCCATTACACAGCAAGTCTGATCAGACTTGCAAACAGTCTGACCGCGACTCTGCCTACAAACTCACAACTGAAGTACACTTGCGCGCTACGATCTACCAACAGTGGCTGGCTCCGCCCTCAAGCGCTAGCCATCGCTGATTGGTTGGTAGTGGACCTGAAACCTAGCAGTGCGTGACGTCATGCTACCCCGTCACCTCATTGGTGCGCTAGCGGACAGGAACCGTAGACGGATACTGTTGGTGTTTTCTGTCCCGACTTAGTTCTGTCCATTCCTTCGAATGATTTTCTCTCTTGGCTGTTTGGACGCTTCTGTACCGTGCTCTAGGACGTGCGAGGATATATAGAAACGACAAAATCGATTGTCTTTTCCGAAAATTCTCCGAGGAAAGAAGCAGATGTTCCGCTCGAGTGAGTGTGGGCGGGGCCAACATGGCTGGAGAGTGATGTACGGCGCGATGGGCGGGGAGAAGGTTGACTCCTCCCCCTAGTGTCCGCTGCTTGTTTACTCGCAGGTTGGCGGCAGCCCGGCCTGGCGCGTGCCGTCCTGCCGCCGCTCTCCGCCTACTCCCGGCAGGTGGGTTCCCGCATGACCACGGCCACCATCACTCACACGCAACAACCAATTATTCAAATAACTTGATAATCTCCCAGAAAGGATTATGATAACTCGGAGTAAATAATTTTTAATCGGTCAGTCACATCTTAGGCTAATATTTTCCTTTTTTTTTCTTTTTTTAGATGGAGAGAAAATTATTGAAAGAAAAAACGGCAGGATTTCTTTAGGGTTGGTTAGGAAGGGTTGTTGTACCGGATCCTTGTCGCAATTACCGCCACGGTTTTTTTCTGCCCCTCTCGTATCCTTGAACTAAATCTATTTCCATTACGTATTGTTGTATTTCTTAAAAACTACATTACGACAACCTTATCGCCATTTTCCCCCCAAATTACAATCCACTTCCGGTCATTACATCCGCGATAGTTTGTGGGCGATTTTTTTTTTCGAAACACTTATTTTTCGACCGTTTCCGTGTTAAGAGAAATGAAGCTTCGAGACTCTGGTTCGAAGTGGCTTTATGATACGCGATTCATGAACTTCTTAAATTCGTCTCTCTTTTGTGAATTGTTTTTATTTTTATATTTACTCGTTTTTGATAATGGAGGGAGAGAAGAGAGAAAGGATTAAGAGATAAAGAAGAGAGAGACAGAGAGAGACTGGCGAAGTTGCAGTGAGTGATGATTGGTCTATATATTGTTTACTTCGATTGTGATTGGTCTATATATTGTTACTTCGATTGTGATTGGTCTATATATTGTTTACTTCGATTGTGATTGGTCTATTTTTTTTTTTACTTTTCGCAAGTGTCTTAAGAGTGTGTTAAGTGTGTCGTTATTTTGGGGGTGTTGAGAGACTTGGCTTCATGTTGTGTCTGTGTACTTTCGGTACTTCCCGGTGGTAAGTAGTAGCAGTGGTATAGTACCTCGTATTGATGTGATTCAACCTCCCCCACTCTTGACACTGTCCAGTTATCGGGTGAGTGAATTAATGTGTGATTAATCTTATTGACGGCACTGTCCGGGACGGGGGTTGGCAGTACATGTGTATGTGTGTGTGTGTGTGTGTGTGTGTGTCACTGGCGGTACTTACACTAATCTTTTATTACGGAGGGAGGAAAGAAGAAAGGGGGACACTTTCCGACGGTCGATGGTGAGTATGCGACAGAAGCGATGATTTAATCTCTTGTCATTCTAAGGATCGGAAAGTACTTATTACGAGTATCGGCAGTATTTATGAGACAGTAACTGTGTTTGTACTCTGTCGAGGTACTTACTTACCTACGTTACTTTCCGATGGTTAATGTGTGTGTACTACCTAAAAAAAATTACTCGGTGGGGTCCTTACCTATGTGGCACTTTCCAGGTATAGTCAGTATCTGTAAGGAAGTGCCACATCAACTTGACACCTTCATAGTGCCTTCTGAACTCGTCCTGTTGTGTTCGGGGGTTATAAACGTGTTGTAGACTAAGTGAACGCACCGGGCATCGTAGACTCGCTTATGAGACCGTTGTAAAAGGGACGGCGGCCTATAGTGAGGAGGGATGTTGTGAACGCGTCAGCTTAACGATGTAATAAACGCAACGTCGAAAATATACTGTTGTCGTGGAGATATTGTGAACGCGTTTGGTAAATTGTATTGTGATCGCGGGGGTATGAAGAAATTGGTGAACGCGGTGTCGTGAACGCGTATGAAACAAGTCTAGGTAAGACTGTGAACGCGTCGATTTATTTTAGCTATGGGGTCGTGAACGCGTATTATAGTGAAGACATTTTTAACCACGCATAACTTAGTTAGGATTATTCTTAATTATGAACGCGTCATTTAAATCATGTTGTGAACGCATCAGTTTTAGAAAATTGTGAACGCGATGTTGTTACGAGATCATTGCGTCGTCGTGGAAAATAAATATGAACGCACCGCGGTAGAATAATAGTGTTAGCCGGTTGCCGCAGAACTGCCATCAACTCGTCACCTTTAAAACGCTGTGAACGCGTCCCTTACCCCCACCACCACCACCACCACGTCGAAGGGCTATAAACGCATCGCCTTTAAGGGATTGTGAACGCCTAGCCTCAGAATTGTTCTACACGCTGGATTAATAAAATATTGTTGAACGCGTTACATGTTATAGAGATTCGGTGAACGCGTCAGGTTAAGTGACTGTGAACGCATCGAACCTTCAAAAAAGACTAAACGCGTTTTCTTTGTAACAAAACAAATGAACGCCTCACTACCAAGAAGACTACAATTGCGTAGTAACCTTACGAACGCATCAATCACCTTTAAAAATATTGTGAACGCACCGCCGCCGTCCGAAGATTGAAAACGCATATCCGTTCAGAATATTTTAAACTCATAGCTGTGAGGGATATACTGTAGCCCCATAATGAGAGAAAAAGAACGCCCTATCTCTACCACGGAAAAAATGAAAATAAAATAAACGCGTATGCCATAGAACTTTACGAAAGATTAAACATGAAAAAAAATAAATACTACAATTGCGCCATAGTAAAAAAAAAATATTCTTAATTTTCGTAAACATTTATCCAATTCATTATTTTTTTTTATTATCTGAACAAAATCCCACTTGTAATAAACGCATTTTCACGATAACTAAAAATAACATAAGAATTAAACGCAAATAAACGCAAAGAGAACTACTCCCAATCTATATCAACACGCAAACTACCCCCCCCCTAATTAACAAACGCAACATGTGGACGAACTAGCTATTTCTAGGACAGAGTTGAGATTGATCAATACCTTAAACAAAATAATTGATCATTCTTATTTATTTTAGTCCAACTGTAAAAAAAAAAGAGTTGATTTTAATGAACAATAAATAAATAAATCGGTGATATTTGATAACCATTTTGATTTGATAATTAGATTTACATTGGGATTACTTACCTGTATGTTGTATGTATGTACCTGTAATTTGTAACTGTATGTATACCTGTGACCTGTACCTGTATGTATACGTGATTGATCGGTTATTGTTATTACTACACCAATTGAACGCCATTGTTATTTCATTCCACAAAATAATGTAGATATGCTAATGTTATTGATTTTAATGTGGTATATGTTATTGTACTAAGATAAATAACGAGGATCATGTTATTGCAACCGATGTATTGTGTTAGTGGGATTATAGTTGGTTCCACAAAGTATGGGGTATTATTGTGTTATTGCGAGTTGGTTATCACGTTATTGCGGGCGGATTATCATGTTATTATGAGTGGAATATTACGTTAATGCGGTGATTGTAACTTAATTCCAAACCCACTGCGATCCTTGCCATAAATTCCTCAATATCTCAGCATCGATGAATTACCAAGTTATTGCAATAATTCAGCGAAGGGCTTGCCACGTCATTGCAATATATTTGACTCTAAAATCAAGTTATTGTTAAAGAAACTGTGGTAAAGTCCTGTCCGCTTCCCCTCCTTGAAGGTAATTGCGTTATTACGTCAAATTACCAGAGTCATTGCTGTCATTTATGTCTCGTCATTGTTAGGAATTATCAAGTCATTGCAACTATTACCTCGTCAGCCTCGTACGTTATTAAGGTAATTTATACTCTGTTATTATCACCTCATTATAGTAATTCACTTTTCACTCGTATTTAAAACTGACACGTTATTGCATCATACTCCTCGCCTCTCACTCACGTTATTGATATTCATGCTCCGTGATTGAAATGGTGTTGAATATAGCTCTAGGCTCAATAACATCATTTGTTATTGCAACTTACTCATATATTGTTATTGCGGTGTATCACTACTCGCTTCCTACTAACGTTATTGCAGTTATTTATCCCTCATTATTGCGATGGCTTATAACCAATTGTCAAATAACATTAGTGAATAAATCGTTCGTTACTACAACCAATTCAATCACAGGTTATTGCTGTAGATTATTATCACGCGTAACCGACAAAATTATTGCAGTATATCATCGCTCATTACAAGTTTACCGCTAGTTATTACAATTTACCCATCATTGGTTATTGCGACATATCCATCAATCGTTATTGCAATCCCTAAATGGTTATTGCAACTAATCCATTTCTAGTTATTACAGCTAATCCATCACTAGTTAATCCACCACTGTGCAACTATTCCCTTGGTAGGTTATTGCAGCTAATCCCTTGGTGGGTTATTGCAGCTAATCCACCATTGGTTATTGCGGGGAGCTCATCACAGTCACCCCCAGAGATCACAAGTCAAGGCGATGATCAGCGCTTGATGAGTTTAGCTGTGGAGGAGGGGAGTCTCTCTCTCTCTCTCTCTCTCTCTCTCTCTCTCTCTCTCTCTCTCTCTCTCTCTCTCTCTTATTATTGGTAATTTTCCCTCTCCTTCTCCTTCTCCTTCTCCTCCTTACCCCACATTCTCCTCTCTTCTACCCTCTTATCTCCTTCTCACCTCTCCCCTCTCATCTGTCAATCTTTCTCTCCCTACTTCTTCTCTTCTTCCACTCACTCCCCACCTCTCCTCTGT